CCCCAAAACCCCAAAACCCCAAAACCCCAAAACCCCAGGGGGAATTGGATGTGTTGATGGGGTTATTTTATTTGTTAAATTTGAAGTTGAGATGTTTTAAGGGTCAAGAATATGAGTGAGAAAAATATCTAATCAATGTAAGTTTTCTATTCTTGATCTAGAATCTCTGTCATAATAAATAAACTTAAAATTGTTGGGTAATGTCTACTTCGTCTTCATCAAGATTTACATCAACTAGAAAGTATGACTCAATAATCTCTTCTGCGAGCTGATAAATGAGATGATCTCCATGTGCATAAAATTTCTCTATTGTGTCTAAACCTCCACAATTTTCAAATATTAAAGCGAACTCGTTGAATCCTTCCTCATTGATGAAGCTTTGTTGGCCAATACCAAGACAATTTTTTATTCCTTCTAGAAGAATTATCGCAGCTTTAACTTTAATCTTAGATTTTAATAAGTAGCACATTGCTTCGATTCCTTTCTTGCTGACAATTTTTTCTACAATTTTTGCATTATTTTTGTGCGGTGGCATTAGAGATACACCAGCCAGCTTTACTTAGAATCCCATACTCATCTGCTTTGATTAGTTCTATCAGTTTGTCAATGGTTCCTAATTCAATCAAGATTGAGATATGCTTAGTCAAACCAGCACAAATGTTGGATAACGCCCAACAAGCTGTTCTGACAATAGTTTCATCTTGATGAGATAACAATTCATAAAAAAGATTCAACATCTCAGCATTAATAGCAACCTGAATTTCACTTTCTTCTCTCAATACCAAGTCACAAATGTTTTTTACTCATATCAGAACTATGGTAGCATCACCCCATTTTCACCAAATGTTTTTGGATATTGTCGGAATGCTTGAGGTAAGGCTTAAGTATTTCAATGAGTCCCCACTAAATAATCAGAGAATTTGTTTTCTTCCCAACCTCTGAGATGTAGTACAAAGCCCATATACTATTTGAAAGAATCTAATTTTTATCATTTGTCTTCAAGCATTCACTGATTATTGTTGATAAGATAGAGCAGCTCTCCAAGCTTTGGAAAAGGCTTATCCCTCAAAAAGTTAGAGACACACCACATACAATATTCTATAAGGGTAGTATTTGGTTCAGCTTTCTGAAGAATATTACCAAGTGGCTTCAAAGTTCCTTCTTTTAGAATCTTAGCTCTATAGTGAGCATCTTTACCAGAAATATTTCCTAAAGCCCAGATGCTCTGCTCAACAATTTTATGTGAATCAAGGTAGGGATAAGTCTTAGTTTCATCTTCTTTACCTTGGGTGGTCCCAAGAAAGCTGATTAAGATAGGAATGATTCCTTTATCAACAAGAGCATTGACATGCTCTGCTTTGCCACTAGCAATATTTGTCAGACACCACAGAGCTTCAAACTGAATTGTAGGAAAATCATTCCTACTAACCAGAGCAATTAGCTGGGTCAGCAGATCTGCATCAACTATACGTTGGTTAAGGGGATTTTCAAAAAGAGATAGCAATTTTCTTAATCCAACTACAGCCAATTAAATGTTGTGATCTTTGTCAGATTTTATCAGCTCTTGAAGAAGAGGAAAGTCAGAGAGTAAGAACTTAGTGTTCTTCAAAATTTGGTAGTAATCCATAAGGCCCATTCCTTCATCCCATAACGATTAAGCTTGGGTAATACAAATAACATAGACTCATATGTTATCAACCATTTATTGTAAATGAATTTAGAAAGAAGCTAATCAAAAAATTTCTAATTCAATTACAGAGATTATTGCAATAATCTCTGTATCAGATAAAGAAGAAAACTTGCCAAAGCCTGAATCATTCCTCATAGAATATTACCTAACAGCACTTTTCATAACAAAACTCTAAATAAAGTAAAACAATAGTGTGCCTAATCTTATCAGAAGGAGGGTCTTTGATATTGTCAGTCTCAGACCGATCATTAGCCTCATAACCTCTGTTCTCTGCAAACATTTGGTTCTTGATCTCTTACCTACTCGCTTCATTGTTTTCACTTCTATTCTTTATAAGTTGGCCTGCATCTTGATTGTTAAAAAATTGGTTTATTCTGTTCTGAATTCGACTGTCAATTTTCATAGAAACCTTATTTGGGTTCTTGCCGATGTGGAACAACTTTTCCTTTGACTGGTTTTGTTTTGCTCCATTTCTGATAAATTATTACAAAATCAGCTTGTATAAAATACTAAGGGGTTTTGGGGTTTTGGGGTTTTGGGGTTTTGGGG